GTGTCTAATCCTACTCTTCTCCAATTTTATGTCTAACCCTAAATGTCATGTCTGACACCAACACAAACCATGCCCTAATGGTAAACCTTATTCTTTAAACTTAACRCTACTGCTACCTGCTAACCCCAGCCCCMATCCTRTACTTAACTCTAMTCTCACYTTAACACKAACCGCACCCCTAATCCTAAATGGCGTGTCTAACTCTAAAATGTAACTSTAACTCYAAATGTTTAACCCTAATGCTGATTATAACCAACACTAACCATAAAAAAACCCTAAACCTTACCCAAAACCCTAACCCTATACCTAGTCCTGACTCAAACCCTAACTTATACCATTTAAGTTAGGGTCTGGGTTATSTAAAGCTAACCCTAACACAAACGCTAAACCCTGACCATAATTCAAACACAAACCCTAMATGTCTAATCCTATCACAAACAGTAAACCCTAAAACCTAACCCCTAATCAAAAYGCCAACCCTAACCCCTAACCTTACTRTAGCCCTAAGTGGCATGCCTAAGCCCAACACTATCCCTACAGCCAAGCCCTAACCTTAATCTATAACACTAATCCCAACCTGAAATGTCTAGCGCTAACTCTCATTCCTAATGCTAACCCTGAATGCCCAACCTGAACAATAAACACTGACCCTAACCAAAAGCCAGCTCTTCCCTAACACTAAACGTAACCGTAAATGTTGTGTCTAACCCCTTCCGCAACACTTTCTCCAACCCTAATCCCTAACTCTAACTCGGTACCAAACTCTAACCAGCTCTAGCCCTAAATGGCTAATGCTCAATGGTATGTATAACTCTAACCCTGTCCTTAACCATACCACTAACCCTATCCCTACCTCTTAACCCTAACATCTTGARGTAACCCTAATCAAAGCCCTAACCTTTAATGGTGAGTATAACCKTATCCATACCATAAACCTATCCCTAATTTTTAATCCCTTAAACCTATAACTAACCCTAAACCCTGACCCTAACCAAAACTCTAACCCTTTACCCTATCCCTGACCCTTGAAAGCCCTAAGCCGAAATGTCTAAACCTTCAAACTCTAACAATAAACTTAATCCTAACCTACTGTAACCCCAAATAYGTTACGCTAACCATTACCAACCCTAAGCCTAACGTTCACCCTATACCTAACTCTAATCTGAACCTAACCTTAAATGTTACATTTAACCATAAACCCATCGTCTTCCCAAAACCCTAATAACTAACTCTAACCCTGACCCTACATTTCTTGATCATAATCTAACCCTTTTCCTAAAAGGCATGAAGAAAGATGATAAGGCTTTTTTTTTTGTTCTTCCTGGAGGAAAGACTATGATCTATAGGCTAGAGTAAAGCTAGCATGCAGTAAAATATTAATACTATACGTCATGGATATGCATTAATTTTAAAATTCTAATTTCTTTGTTGCATCTCATTAAGGGCAGAGGTAAAATTCTTACTTCCGCAAACCCACAGTCCTCCTTGGATTCTGACGACTGTGTTTTCCCTAGAATTTGCCATACAAAGTGGAAATGGAAGAACAAATCTGTTCTGTGGCACCCTCTGGTGTTTGATAGTTTATGCTTATTTTCAAGACTAGAAATGCTCCTTTGCTTTTAATTTTGAGGTGCATGTAGTCCTTCCTGAATCATTATTTCACAGAATTGCAAGAGAAAGTCAAGACAGTCTTCCATGGCTGTGTATTTTCTGAGAGCTGAAATGTATGAGTAAATGAAGAACTTCRTTGCCATGAAGTATCTGTCACTGATGTTTTAAAATACACATTTATTGGGCAATGTGTAGTTTTCCAGAAGGCTGTATTTGTTGTGGCACAATAAATACAGAGGCAAGAGTCTGTGCGGTGAAAGAGTGCGTGCAGCCAAATCAGTGGAGGGCAGATCTCTAAAAAGAGTTTAATTTTTTTTTTTTCCGATATTGCTGTGACCTTTCTCAGAAAAGTGAGTGAATAGAAAGCATGTACATGCACATGCACTTTTTTTTTGAGTTAACCTTTGCTCTGTGGCATTTGGTGAGGTGCTGTGTAGCCTGCTTAAGGAACATGACCCTCAGGTGGTATTTTGACTTCCTGTTCAAGGCTGTGAGAGCAGGTCTGTTGAGCTGGTCTGTTCAGCCTGAAGAAAAGAAGGCTGAGGACGGATCTGATAAGAGTATATAACTACCTCAAGGGAGAGAGAGGAGGATGGGGCAGGCCTCTTTTCAGTGTTGGCCACTGATAGAACTAGAGGAAATGGCCACAAATGGAAGCACCAAAAGATCCTCAGGAACTTGAGGAAAAAATTCTTAACAGAGCACTGGAACAGGTTGCCCAGAAAGGGTGTGAAGTCTCTTTCTCTGGAGATTTTCAAAACCGACCTGGATGCCACCCTGTGCCGCGTGCTCTAGGTGACCCTGCGTGTGCAAGGGGGTTGGACTAGCTGATCTATAGAGGTCCCTTCCAACCTTAAGGATTCTGTGATTCTATGAGCACTCAAAAGAGAAGGCAGAGACTAAGGCCAGTACTCTGGTCTCTTAATGCTAAATGCTACCTGGAAAAATTGCCGAAAGAAATCAGAAATCTGCTGTAGGCAGCTGATCTGATATACTCCATTGAATGCTGTGCAGTGCATTCTCAGAGGCAGGTCTCTAGCCTGGGAGAGAAAGGCCTCCTCCACTTCCAGTGCTATTCCCTTTTGGCACTGAGGTGATGCGGCCAACTTGGAGGCTGAGGCACTGTCAGCTCCTTCTACAGGCATGAAAAGACATTTTCACCTTGCCTGTGCAGGTACTGCCTTTAGACTAAAGAGCTGAAATATGGTTACTTGGGTATTTTTTTGTTTGTTTATTTTGTTGGTGTTTTTAATATGGGAAAGAGGGAATAGCTTGCGTTTCTATTATCTTAGAATCATAGAATCATAGAATGCCSAAGGTTGGAAGGGACCTCAGAGATCATCTAGTCCAACCCCCCTGCTCACGCAGGGTCACCTAGAGCACATGGCACAGGGCTGCATCTAAGCGGGTTTTAAAGATCTCCAGAGAAGGAGACTTCACAACTTCTCCGGGCAGCCTTTTCCAGTGCTCTGTCACCCTCACTGTCAAGAAGTGTTTTCTTAAGTTCCTGTGGAACTTCTGGTGCCTCAGCTTGTGGCCGTTTCCTCTAGTCCTATTGCTGTCCACCACTGAAAAGAGGCCRCCCCCTCCTCCTCACTGCCTCCCTTGAGGTATTTATAGACACTGATCAGGTCCCSCCTCAGCCTTCTCTTCTCCRGGCTGAACAGGCCCAGCCTTCTCCAGGGTTTTTGCGTTTTTCCTCCTCATAGGTGGGTGAGGATACAAACATGAAAAAGGGGAGGAAAAAGAAAATAAGTTAAGCCCTAGATGAAACTATTTGGCTGTTTGTGGCAGTGTGCTCTGAGCAGTCTGCTTAAGAGTAATCATGGCTGAAAAATGGAGCAGATTTTGAGAGCTGTGATTCGTTYTACAGTTTAGACCTGGAGTACAAGACTGACTATGTGTATGTGTGAGCAGAGGTGTTTTGCGAGATTCCTGACTGGAGTTTTCTTCAAGAAATTGCCAGCCACTTTCAGGACAGATGCAGGCAGAGAATTAGCAAGAAGATGCTCTGGTGAGAAGACTGGGATATCRACTTGTGCAGAATTTCTGGCTAGAGAGAAGAGCCTTGGAAGACAGAGATAGGAACTCACCTGTGTTTTTATTCCCAGGTGTATTCAAGAAAACAGTTTTTGTTTCTCCTCTTCCCTCTTCATGCCCGTTCCTTCAAAGAGGGTGTCACTAGAGGAGAAATTGCTAACAGGAGGACTTGGATAGTGAAGAATCTGCTTAAATGACTGTCTCTCCTTGTCATCCAAGCCCTTCAGTAAGGGTCATTACYGAACTTGTTGTCAGGCTAAAGGGTTTCTACTTGTTGTAGCCCAAGGAGCGTATTGCGAAGGGAGGAGGCCTTGGCCCCGTGTGCAGTATGGAGAGAATGGGTGAGACTTCCTGATTGCTTACCAAAAGGATAAAGTAACATCACCCGAGAAAAWGCGTTATGCCAGCAAAGTGCTTGAAACCTCAGACTTTTTAGGCTAAAAGTGGTCCTCTCCTCAGGCAGGGACTGCCCAGCTCTGAAAGTAAACTAATTTATTTACTTTTAATTGGAGTTTAATCATGTTCTTGTTCTACAGAACCCATTGTGAAGAACATGAGCTTTCCCTGGCTCCAAGTTTGGGGCTGCCACTGTGCCAGGCTCTGGTGGAGTTTGAAAATGGAAATTGTGACAAAGCTGTAGACCTGCTGTACCCAATCCGTTACCAGCTAATCCAAATAGGAGGCAGTAATGCTCAGGTAAAGAATTCGGTGAAATGCTTTTTAATCCTCCTCCAGAAGCCTGTGCTRTTAGTAGCACTTGTTTCTTGGAAAGGGAAAAACTGAATTGTGGTTGTGATTGAATTCTGTTTGCAAACGTTACTAGCAGTGTTAACTATTTAATTTGGTTTGTGGATGAGTTTCCTGTGGCGTCTTAAAAACTTACTGAGCAAGACATTACAATCAGCAGCATTTACTTCTTTTTATTGTTATTACTTATTAACTTTTTTTCCCTTCTTTTTTATCCAGAGAGATGTTTTCAGCCAGTTACTGATCCATGCTGCTTTAAATTGTAAATCACAAGTCAAACAAAACCTTGCTAAGTGAGTATTCTTCCTGTTAAATACTTCTGGAAATGGTACCAGTGTTAAATGCAAGAAGTGGCAAGCATACTTAGGCACTAAATTAAAGCTGAAATTATATGCAGTCTCCCAGTTTAACTATATATGCTTCTTTTTTTAACATGACTAGGATAAAAATTACGTTAACTCCCAGTATCCCAATCTGGATAAATGATCAGCGTTTGTTCCATGGCACTTGAATTTTTTTAATGGTTCTGGCTTCAGTTGTGCTTGTTGATCAGTTTAACTAATGGATTTATCAACTTTTGTGAACTGCTGAAAATGATGATAATATATATGCTGTATTGGGAAATAGGTTACTGAGTTAGGTGAGTGCTTGCACCAGTACAATTCAGAAGAGTTGCTCAGTGACCCATATTGAATTCTGAGAAAATGTATCCCCTTTCTCTGCCTGTGTGCTTTAATGACTGGATTCTTAGGGCAACATGAGGCCTTGCCTGGTCTCTTGCTAAGGCCTCTGCTGTGTGTAAAGTTTAGGTGAAGGAAACAAAGGAAGTCTTTGGTGCTTTTTGGTCCTTGAGTGCCTGCCTTCTGTCTCAGTGCTGAAAAGGAAGCTCTTCTGCCTTTTCTTAATGAAAAGGCTAGATGGTAGTGTTTTTTCCTCCTGGTTCTCCTTCCTGGTGCTGCATTGCTCCTTTCCCTAAGCATGACCCATCCTGTCTCAGGTAAAGAAACTCTGCATCTCTAGTGGATTTCTTCTGGAAAAACTGATGATGTACTCATGACCATCCTCTCTTCTCTCTCCTACCTTGTGTCTCTTTTCTCAGGTGCCTCCTGAGAGAACGTGATCTGATGAGAGCAAATTCACCAATGACAGAGCGGCTGATCAGGAAGGCAGCAGCTGTTCATGCAGTGGCCTAGATCATTCCATTGAGCATGGTGAAGTGGCAGGGAGCTTTCCAATCAACATTTGGGTGGGGGGGACAGGCTACCCTGTAAAGCACACTGGAACATTTTCATAGGTAAAGGGCATCCCAGGAGTTGTAGACAGTGATTTTATTTTAATTTAGTTAATAGACTAAAAGCAGTTGGGTTTTCAGGAGGTTATAATGAAGCTTCTTCCACAAGGGAGCAAGCTCCTTAGCTGAGAATGCACAGCTCTGTGAAGCATCCTGAGATGGTGCTTTTTCTGGTAATTTCTCCTGCAGTCTTTCTTGTCACCTGATGATGAGGCTGTGTGTAGGAAATGGAGTAAAAGTGGCTTGCCAGAAACAGTACTATAACAATGTGCTTGCATTTCACTCGAGTATTGGCCCAGTTTGCTATACTCTTAATTAATGTATTAAATAATGAGTATACTCTTGGGGCCGTTTAAATCGGGTTTTTAAGCATGGCTACTAGGATATAAGGGGCCAAAGCCAATACAAGCATGAAGTGAGTTCCTTGCAAAGCCTCCAGTCTGCTTGGCTGAGCTTTTCTCTTTAGGTAGTGGTATTTCTAAATGCTACCTTGGACTGGTGGTTTTGTGTGTTTCTCAGCTCCTGGAGAGTTGGGCTTTCTCTGATCCCAACAGCATCAAGCCACTCCATGGTAGCAAAGGGTACTMAAAGCCCATGTCAGAGCCTGCACCTGAGGGTACTTCAGTCCTTGCTTGTAGCCTCGTGAATCCTCCAGGAAGAGGTTGTTCCCTCTTTTTCAGGTGCATCACTGCTTTATGTATATTTCCGGATGTGGTCATGCTTTGGTCCAGGGTGTGCTGCAGTTACAGGGGCCTTTTTACTCTCTGATTTTTAATCAGTGCATTTATGATGATGATTTTGCACAAAGAACTTTTTACTCCAGATTGTAACAAATTTCCTCTGGCAACAAATTGCCAGAGATCACCTGTTTCTGCAGTGTGTAGATATCTAAGTGATCCATTACAAAACAAACGAAACAATGACATTTAGAGAACTTTTGAGAGACTGTGATTTAAAACTTAGCCTGCTTTACCTCAATAAATTCAGATATGCTTAATTTAACACCAGTGTGTGACTTCTTTGCTTGTATTGACAAGTGTCTGAAAAGTGGGACTGCCAAGTCCTTAAAAAACTTGGCATTTTTTAGAGGTGATGTTAAACTATACGTTAGTAATCAAAATGGTCTTTTCTTCCAGGAATGTGACTTGAAGTTTTTGCATGAAGCTAGTATTCTACAATTTTCTGTAGATGAGAGCTTGTGGTTTCCTGCCTTTTTCATTTTTATTTTTGCTTTATCTCTGCARTTTGCTAAATGCCAAAATGTGGAAACTGCTCTGAAAACACAGCTGTCACCTCTGGCTGATTCCAGGCTTTGCCTGGGCACCCTCCATTCCTACCCTAAACGCTCAGCCCTACACAGGATTTGTTAACCTAGAGTGACATTGCTGATTTTTATTCAGTTTTATTTAAAAAAGTGTTCCACCCTTATTTTTGTGCTTCAGGCATACAAATAAATCCTTTCAAAAGAGGGAATAAAGGTGTTTCTTTCCCTCTCAAAAGAGGGAATAAAGGTGTGTGTGGGTGTGTGTACATACATATATATATATATACACACACACACACACACATACATACATACACACAGTACTGGAGTGCTTTGTTCAGTTCTGGGCTCCCCAGGACAAGAGGGATGTGGAGCTGCTGGAGAGAGTCCAGCGCAGGGCTATGAGGATGATCAGGGGCCTGGAACATCTGCCCTGTGAGCAAAGGCTGAGGGAGCTGGGCCTGTTCAGCCTGGAGAAGAGAAGGCTGAGGGGGGACCTGATCAGTGTCTATAAATACCTCAAGGGAGGCAGTGAGGAGGAGGGGGCGGCCTCTTTTCAGTGGTGGACAGCAATAGGACTAGAGGAAATGGCCGCAAGCTGAGGCACCAAAAGTTCCCCAGGAGCTTAAGGAAAAACTTTTTGACAGTGAGGGTGACAGAGCGCTGGCACAGGCTGCCCAAAGAGGTTGTGGAGTCTCCTTCTTTGGAGATCTTTAAAACCTGCTTGGACGCAGCCCTGTGCCACGTGCTCTAGGTGACCCTGCATGAGCAGGGGGGTTGGACTAGACCTCTGAGGTCCCTTCCACCCCTAAGCATTCTGTGATTCTATGATATCAGGCTTTGCACTTCTTTCTCCTCTCCTGGTGTTCCTCCGTGAGAACCGTGAGGCAACTTCCAGCTGCCTGTAGAAGGCCTCATCAACCTCCTCCTCCTGGTCAGGTGACCTCTAGCAGACACCTGCCACAGTGTCTTCCACGTTGGCATGCCCTTTAACCCTTACCCACAAGCTCTCCACCTGCTCATCATCCACTCCCAGGCTAAGCTCCATGCATTCCAGTTGCTCTCTCACATACAGAGCAACTCCACCACCTCGCTTTCCCAGCCTGTCCTCCCTAAGGATCACATAGCCTTCCATGACAGCACATGAGTTGTTTGAGCTACGGTCGATGCAGGTCTTATGACTTGTTCTAAGCCCACATTCTGCATCGTTATGGCACTTGTAAGAGYGGACATTGGAGTCCTGACTTTGTATGTTTGCATGTAGAGAGATGCTTAAAAAGGCAGGTGAAGTCAACAAGAGTTTGGCACTTTCTTTCCAAAGCTCTTTGCAAGTCACAATTCTTGTCGCCATCTAGCCCTGTGATCTCTTCACTTAAACAGTGTCCCCCTTGCTCTTGTGCTTTTTCCTTAGAAGAGCAAAGGAAGGGAAAAAGATGCTTCAAATCCCAACTCAGGTGGTGCACATTGATCCCACGGGACAGGGCAGGTTGGAGCTTCAAGAGAAGAATCCTATTGCCTCTTTCCAAAAAGGAAAACACGGATGGGCTTACTAGTAATAATTCTAGTGCAGCTCTGAGCTTTCAAACTGGCAGCATCCCCTTTGATCACTTCCTATCACCTGTCCCAAGAAATGCTTCCCCCCTTAGCCAAAGCAACAAAAGAGCCTCCCTATGCCACCAAGAAACTGAGGACAAGACTCCCTTTGTGAGCTGCTGTTTGCATACTGTCCCTCCCTCTCTAGAATGAGCCAGAAGGAAAAGCATCAGTAATGCCATTTAACCCCAGGATGGACAGTGAGCCTTGCAGAAAGACTTGCGACAGTGTGTGTCTCTGTTTTTTTTTTTTTTTCCTTTTCTAAAAAGAAAAAATATCTTTAAAAGACATTGTACTGGTGTCCCGCTTACCAGTGGTTTGGCAATTTGTCTTTCCCAGGAAAACAGAGGCAGTACAAGAAATCAGGTCTTGCACTTCTTTCTCCTCTCCTGGTTGATCCTCGTTGCACAGTTCACTCTGTCACTAGGGACTGCTAATGCTGTGTTGCCGTGTGGTGGCAACTTTCCTGACTTGCAGTTGCTTTCATGACGGGCCAGGTCAGAAAGGATGTCACAGTGATAATGGAATCAAATGTATAATCGTAATGGGGTCTACTCAAGTAATGGTCTTTTATGCCTATCAGAGTCAAAAAAATCCCTCAATTAAGCTGCCCTTAAAGTTTTCTTCGGCAAGCACCGTCCTACAGAATGCCTGTTTTATACTATTTACAAAATATTCTCAAACATGAGTCTAACATCAATGACTTGCAAMAGTAAAAACTGTAACAGTCTCATCCACATACAAATGTAAATGCAGTGTWAGGAACTCATATGTTTACTGTGCTAGACCAAACCACAATAGATCATCCTCTCAGCTTTTATGCCTTATGCTTTGAGGAGTAAAGATTTTATCACCATTTTCAGAGCGTTTTAGCTGTTTAGCCTTCCCTTAGAGGTATAGATTAGCCCTAATATGCCCATAGCTTCTTTGCCAGAGGCAAGAGGACTCCGCACGGTCTTATTCTCTAGTCAGTGTCTATGTAAAAGGGGTATCAGCTCCCAGGACTTGGTAAAGTACCACTGAGGTGCATACAGAACCAAAAGTCTGGAGAAAAATGGCACATAGTTAAAAGCAAGTGGCTGAGTGCGAAGAATTCCTTAAAACTTACTGACCAATTTAGGCAAGAACGACCAATGAAGTTCAATATTCATGAATGTTTATATGAAAAATAGAGAGAAAAGAGTCAATTGAGTGCAAAATACAGTATCCTGCCTAGCTCATACGACAAGATAAACTATTCTTTTTGCATTTCTTTGTCTATTCTGGAGCCCTCAGTGTTGGTGATGTCTCCTCTGAGGCTGCCCTAGAATGTGCTCTGAGGTGGATCTGGGTGCCCACTTTTGGGTGTTCTGAGCCTTTTAATCAGAAAAGGTAGTTTATCAGGAAAAATGCTTTCACAGCATTTTGGAAGGAGAGTCCTCAGAGCTGAAAAAAAAAAAGAGTTTTAGGGGCTGGAAAAGGAAGACATTCTTCACAAATGAGATGGCAGATGCAAAAAGCCACTGCATGGAGGTCTCAGACCCATAGCACAAGCCATACAATACAAAGAAAAATGATGACAGGCCAGTTACAGCTGTAATTAGTGCCCAGGAGAAACAGATGCAGCTCTGACAAAAAACAAAGTGTAGTCTCTTGCGAAAGAGCAGGGAGACAGTGCTGAGTGGTTTCTTCTGCCTCTGAACGTTCTCCCTTTCTAATGTCTTATAAGATTCCTTCCGGGAATATCTAAATAGGGCTATTAGAAGCATTTCTACAAGAACAGTAAGCAAAACCCTTTCGGCTCCTACTGCTATTGATCTCAAAATGTTCATGTGTAGTAGGGATTCTGCCCTTCTGTCAGCATTGAAGAACATAAAGTCAACAAGCAGGTTTAGGAGTAATATTGCCACACAGCATGACAACCTTTGGAGTCTGCTGAAAGTGTTGGTGCCCATATGGGCAAAAAYAGAGAACCAGAGGTGACCATCTCTTAGGTTTTCAGCAAGATTTATCAAAAAATAGTCCATTCTGCAGAGATGTGCTTTTGGATTCATGACAAAGAAGGTCATTTTAAGGAAGTGTTCATCCTTGTTGAGAGCAAGTCACCTGCAGCAAAGAAAGAACCAGGTCCCCTTACTGTAGGGATTTTCAGCTTTTTGCTCTGCTTAGGAACCAGCTTGGAGAAGGCCCTTGGTTATTGTGCCACACCCTCAAGGCACAAATCTCTCCTAAGACTTTCTTTGTAGTTAACAAAAAAGTATCTGTGCTTCCCTGATGGAAAGATGGGCAGTGTGGCTGTCGTAAGCACTGGACCTCACTTTTGCCACCCTGGCCAACRAGYTGGAGAAAAACATCTGCAGTGGTTCTGAA